GGGGGCGGGGGTGGGGGTGGAGGGGCAGGTGCTGCCGGTGCAGGCTCAGCAGCTGCAGCTGGTGCTGAAGCGGAATCTTCTTCCGATGGTTGGTAATCTTTGAATGCTTCTATGTCCTCTTTGTTCTCCACTATGATACATAGCAGCTACAAAAGACAATGAAAACAAGGTGTTAAGTACTATAACAGGGCTGAAACGATGTTTTTCATGTTCTCTACTAGGATACACAGTACTCCCTACCATAGGCAAGCTGAGTGACGAAGTCAATTCCATATATAAACTATCACAATACAGAAAAGTGTGTAGAATTACCCAGAGAAATAGCTGTGAATACCTAGTGAAAAAGTCAAACCACTGCCATGGCAGAGAGTAAATACATAGCACCTTAAACATAATTATACCGTGTGAGGTGAGATGGCTGAGACACAACATAACCGTTGCCAAGTTTAGTGTGTTCTTTACTGTGATTAACCTCCATCTATACTTAAGTCCAGCCTAGAAATTACAATTCAAGTAAGTGTATAGAATTACCCACAAACATAGCTGTGAATAATCAGTGTAGTGAATAATCAGTCTGGGGATCTGGTAGAGGGTTGATACATAGCACCTTACACCTAACCATGTGCTAGTTGAGATGACTGAGACAAATTCTGGCTAAGACACATTACAGTTACTGTGTTAGCTGAAACTTAATGATCAGGCAAGTGTTTGAAATAGGGAGTACATTTCATTTTACTATGAATACAGGATCCACTTCCTTGAAAAAAATCAGAGGAAAAGGCTAACTTATACTCAGCAACATTTTAGCCAGCTTGTACTTCTGGCAGCAATTTTAGCAGTTTGAAAACCTGTTTATTTATTTTATTTTTTTTTTTTTTGTTGAAAACCAAAGATGGGGGATACATTTCAAAACTGTATGCTGTTTTAATTCACTCAGGGATGAGCATGTCACTTAGTTTAAAAATATTACATGGGGTTCAGGGGGCCCCCTGGGCCAATGTCTGAAATGTCCCAAAATGTCTGAAATCTGCTAATTGTAGGAAAAATCTTGTCCCTGTTTACTATATCACAATATCTTACCTTGCCTACAGGTACCTCCTTAGCACCTGCTTCAATGAGAATCTTGGCTAGGTAACCCTCTTCTGGTGTCTCAAACCCCATTGTGGCCTTGTCTGTCTCTATCTCTGCCAGGAGGTCTCCCTCTGACACCTGATCACCTAGGAGAAAAATACAGTAAAAATATTAATTCATTATCATCATCATCATCATCATATTATTATTATTATTATTATTATTATTATTATTATTATTATTATCATCATCATCATCATCATCATCATTTAATAAATCATATTCAACTCTGTTCACCAACTGAAATTTTACAAAAATCTGCACAAGCAGGTTAGTATTTATACCACATCTCAAATGACCGTTCGACAACTTTGGAAAGTAAAAAAAATAATAAAAATAAAATTAAAAAAAAAAAAAAAAAAANCAAACATCTGCACAAGCAGGTTAGTATTTATACCACATCTCAAATGACCGTTCGACAACTTTGGAAAGTAAAAAATAAAAATTAAAAAAAAATAAATAAATAATAATAAAAAAAATGAAACCTCCATTATAACGTCAAGAAACTGAACATCCCAATGAAGCTATCCTCGTAAATACATTAGCATACCTTCTTTCTTTCCCCAGCTGACTATGTTGCCCACTTCCATGGTAGGAGAGAGGGCGGGGAGGGGCACCTTGAAGTGATCCGGTAGATCTGAGCTGTAATATCGCCTTGGTTGACACTGACTGTGGCATGTAAGGAAAGTCTGTCCTGGCTGTCCATGTTTGGATACAAGACTGAAAAAACAGAGCAATATTGTGAGGGTCACATGAGAGGAAAATTAAAGCTAATTTGTGACATATAACACTGCTGGGTTCATGAGAACAAGCATTCTTACTCTCAATAATGTAATATTAGTAACTTGGAGCTTACATAATGCATGGGATGACAGATTTTATTTAATGTATAAACAGGCAGTGCTGTGAAACATGTTTCCTAGATGTCCATTTTAAATACATTCTGGACAAGAATATTTTTCATGCCTGGATACAAGAAACATAATATTTTTGGCATAAAGTCCTAATTTGAATGGGGTCTTGGTAAAAATACCAATACTTCATCTCACAATTTTCAATGGTGTTTTCTACTTAAAAACTGATAATTTTTGCAAGAAAAACTATTAAGTGAATTAATTACAATCCAAAGCACAAAAACGATCGACAGCTAAGCGCTGAGATGTTCAGTGCTTTGTCAATGTCACTTATCGACAGCGTTATTTATGGGACACAAAACTTACAGTTCTAAACAGTTGCTGAAAACAATGAACTTTTGAATATTTAAGAAAACAATCATTTTGTGACATTATAGTCTTCAATCTTGCACAGAAAAAAATATCACAGACACTCAACACCACTCAACCGGCTTGTATCTTTTTCTCGAGACGTGACTTCTCACTCACCTTGAATTTATATGACGATTTCTACTACATGTCGTGCACAATGAACGGGATGCAGCGACCCTAGAAACTCGCTGTACATTAAGCTGCCTGGCAACAGTACGCACTAGTGAAGAAGATCGCAACATGATGTCAGTTTAGAGCAGACTTTTTGCCTGCATTGACGATCCGTCTGCTGGGAATGGCGTCTAGCCTCGATATCAATGGAGGTCAAGGTTGTGTTGCAAAATATACACATATTAAACATGTAATAGCAATTTACCCTATAATATAAAAAGAAAACCACATATGATAGCTCGGTTTATTTTATTTTAATATTTTTTGTATTTATACCCACAGACTCTATTTATGTGTTGCCCTACAACTAAATGCATATTGCTTTGCTAGCTTCAAAACATATCTCGCATTATCTCGCATACTGCGTGATTAGCGTAACCATAGACTCAACTTTCTCCTGAGAAAGTGTGAAAGATAGGTTGAACATTTGCTCTTTCTACTGCATAAAGATCCCTCAGATATCGGCGCAAGTTTATTTTGATGTTACAGAGGTAACAATTAGAATGCCAGCAGGTGAGTTCTTTGTATGACGTAAATCATTAATAAAACCAGAGGGTTGGAAAAAATAGTAAAGCCACAGACACTGAACTCTCAGACAGTGACAGTGACACCCTGAAATACATGTAGTTGCATTAAAATGGAAGTAAATGCTGATTGCTGTAAATACTTAAATAGTTAAAGCGATTTTTTATCAGTTCATTGATACATACCAATGTAGGACAGCAGATGGCTTTGCAGAAAAAAGATTCTGTACACTGTAACAAGAAAGGAGACGTAGCCTGAAGCTGTTAAACTTACTAATTTATAATTTAATGGGGGCGTACTGGAGAAATTATTTACAGTCTGCAGTACACCCTTTCTAAATTTTACTAGTAGTTCTAACTGGTTGAAATACAGAAACGTGTAAATTAGAACAAAAAATTTAATTAATATCGCTTATTTTTTAAAACTCAGATAAGAAAAAAGAACGCAAAGGAGATGCCACGCCTGTTGTCTTGAAAGGTATCTACATATTTCCCAATGGAGACAAGTATGGTAGGTATAAGTTAGCATTNCCTAGATGTCCATTTTAAATACATTCTGGACAAGAATATTTTTCATGCCTGGATACAAGAAACATAATATTTTTGGCATAAAGTCCTAATTTGAATGGGGTCTTGGTAAAAATACCAATACTTCATCTCACAATTTTCAATGGTGTTTTCTACTTAAAAACTGATAATTTTTGCAAGAAAAACTATTAAGTGAATTAATTACAATCCAAAGCACAAAAACGATCGACAGCTAAGCGCTGAGATGTTCAGTGCTTTGTCAATGTCACTTATCGACAGCGTTATTTATGGGACACAAAACTTACAGTTCTAAACAGTTGCTGAAAACAATGAACTTTTGAATATTTAAGAAAACAATCATTTTGTGACATTATAGTCTTCAATCTTGCACAGAAAAAAATATCACAGACACTCAACACCACTCAACCGGCTTGTATCTTTTTCTCGAGACGTGACTTCTCACTCACCTTGAATTTATATGACGATTTCTACTACATGTCGTGCACAATGAACGGGATGCAGCGACCCTAGAAACTCGCTGTACATTAAGCTGCCTGGCAACAGTACGCACTAGTGAAGAAGATCGCAACATGATGTCAGTTTAGAGCAGACTTTTTGCCTGCATTGACGATCCGTCTGCTGGGAATGGCGTCTAGCCTCGATATCAATGGAGGTCAAGGTTGTGTTGCAAAATATACACATATTAAATATGTAATAGCAATTTACCCTATAATATAAAAAGAAAACCACATATGATAGCTCGGTTTATTTTATTTTAATATTTTTTGTATTTATACCCACAGACTCTATTTATGTGTTGCCCTACAACTAAATGCATATTGCTTTGCTAGCTTCAAAACATATCTCGCATTATCTCGCATACTGCGTGATTAGCGTAACCATAGACTCAACTTTCTCCTGAGAAAGTGTGAAAGATAGGTTGAACATTTGCTCTTTCTACTGCATAAAGATCCCTCAGATATCGGCGCAAGTTTATTTTGATGTTACAGAGGTAACAATTAGAATGCCAGCAGGTATGTTGATGTTCCTCGTATGACACAATCATCAATAAAACCAGGGGACTGGAAAAATAGTAAAGCCACAGACACTGAACACTCAGACAGTGAAACAGACAGTGGCACCCTGAAATAGTTGCATTAAAATGGAAGTAAATGCTGATTGCTGTAAATACTTTAATAGTTAAAGCGATTTTTTATCAGTTCATTGGTACATACCAATGTAGGACAGCAGATGGCTTTGCAGAAAAAAGATTCTGTACACTGTAACAAGAAAGGAGACGTAGCCTGAAGCTGTTAAACTTACTAATTTATAATTTAATGGGGGCGTACTGGAGAAATTATTTTCCAGTCTGCAGTACACCCTTTCTAAATTTTACTAGTAGTTCTAACTGTTTGATATACAGAAACGTGTAAATCAGAACCAAAAATTTAATTAATATCGCTTATTTTTTAAAACTCAGATAAGAAAAAAGAACGCAAAGGAGATGCCACGCCTGTTGTCTTGAAAGGTATCTACATATTTCCCAATGGAGACAAGTATGGTAGGTATAAGTTAGCATTAAACTATTTTTGTATTATCAGAGAGAGAGAGAATGTGTCTTTGTCTGTGTGTGTGTGAGAGAGAGAGAGAGAGAGAGAGAGAGAGAGAGAGAGAGAGAGATGTGTGCCTTTGTGTGTGTGTGTGTGTGTGTGTGTGAGAGAGAGAGAGAGAGAGAGACAGAGAGAGAGAGAGAGAGTTTATGTGTGTGTGTGTGTGTGTGTGTAAATGCAGGCCCGTAGCCAGCAGTTTCAAAAGGGGGGTTCTTTTTCTGAAAAAGTGGACCTTTTCCCATAAAAACTTCATGTA